GAGCAAAATCAAAATACCAAAACATTTGCTAAAATTCACATTTATTCCATGTTATCATCATTTATTGAAGTAATATGTTCATGTTCCTAGAAATACGTTTCGTTTTTATGGAAAATTCATAATGTATTCTAATTTCACCTTATTTTTCCATCCTCATTTGTTTATCTTAACATTTTTTACTCTTGTTGAATTAGTATTACTACGTTATTTTAAACTGCGTAAAGTCAAAATTACGAATTTCCGCGTAGTGGTTTAAGCTTTAGATTGTTGTTTTAGCCCGTGGTTCAAATGATTTCAGAAGTAGTACAAGAGTTTAGAAATTTGTGAGCTTTCAAAAAAAGAAAGAAATGAAAAGTCGGTCTTTTATGTTGTTATTATTGTCGTTGAAGAAGAAACAAAAATCAGCCAACGGCTTTAAATCAATAGTTTTTAAAAAGATGTTGTGAAGAAAATACATCAATGACGTAGCCTGTGATTAGAATAAATCAAATAAACACATAACATGAATAATATGGAATTTACTGACTGCCATAAAAAGTGTTGAGGCATTTAGCAATAGATACTGCCTGTTTTGGAGATCTTAAAAAATTCTGTAGTTAGCAGTATTTAGCCAGAAATAGTAGTTATAGATTAATATTCAATTACTAGAAGCCACTGGTATTATGAATTAAAAATAACTACCGCCTAATGGATATTTTCAGAAACTGGTTTCAGCTAAAAAAGAAAATGAAATATTCGTTTTCCAACTGGATTTAAATATTGTGTTTAGTGGATATGTAAAGGTCTCTTCTTGAGAAGGATAAAAAGACTGACAGAACTCTGCTCAAATGTTAAAAGATACATAAAAACGAAACGACCGGAGGATTTCTTGCTTACCTTTTCGGAAAGTGGAGGCACTCGAAGCCGTTTCATAGCTTTTTGTCTATCACCTTGTTCTAGTTTCTCTGTAAATATATTCTAAGTTAAAGCGATAAAAAAGGGTGATTTTTCAAAAGTTCGATACTGTGACAATGAAAGATATTGAAATGACGTGCATTCACCCAGTAAAAAGTACCATCATTAGCGTTAGGAAAATTCTCACACATTTGTTAAGATTCAGTAGATAATAAGCTGTGAATAAAACTAAGAACTACTAACATTCGGCTTGGTTAAAAATGGGGTTGCAATCATAGCTTATAAGCGATGCCCTGCAAAGGTGCTTATATTTATTTCATTAAACTTTATTAAAGGCTATAGAAGAATAGAAAGTGATCATATCATAAGGTGATCCGAAATTTCAAATATTGTCAGTCGGAAGAAGAGAACTCTTTAAACGCATCTCAAAACATTACCCAGTACGGCTTTAAAGAGGGAATTCAAAGCAACCAGTAGCTTGATACAGAAGTACCTAATCTACTCCGAGCACGCACCCCTAAAGTGGTTATCGTTCAAAACAACCTACATGGTTATAATAACGGGATCAAATGGAGGTCGAACAAAATATTCGTACCCTTCAGAGGCATTGAAAATCCACCAATTCAAGCCTAAACTCCATTCTAAAAAGTAAGACCAGCAAAGTTATATCCTTTCATGGTTCGAATACACTTTTCCAATATTTCTAGGGTTCTTTTCTGTTTTTTAACATTTTTTGTACCTTTTAAACGAAAACCAGAGATTATCATCCATCGAAAATTTTTCATGATTACTATTCAGTAGCTACTATACCTGTTTAATAGAAAGTCATCTCTCACGTTCCTGACCTGCAAAACAATATTCGTTTTAAGAACTTATCGTTGATGTTGGCTCAATGTCATGAACATGGTGAACATTACAAATATAACCCTAATTACATTGAGAACACTATCAATAAATGAATTCGACCGATAAATACTAATAAATAAGAAATATATTAACTGTATTATATCATTATTTGTCCTGAGATTCTGTACTACTTAGCTTATGTTAAAACAGAACATACAAATGGCCATTTACAGAAAATGCCAGCCAACACTACTCTCTTACTTTCATTAAACAACAGATGACAAAACACCAACGTCCTTCCAAAAAAGAACAGATCAAGGCCATTTTCTACTTAGATGCTAAACTCTCGTTTCCCATTTAATTATATAAGTTTGTCGAATAACTGCCTAGTTAGAAACACAACCTCATATAATGAATGTTTATTGCTCACCTCAACCTCTGTAATAAGGTCATCAACCTCCCTACTAGTATTGAAGTGTGCACACTCAACCACCTGTTGCCGCCAAAGTAGTCCTGTGTTTCGGCGGAGAAGCTGTAAATAGAAGAAATCGGGGTTATGCACTCCTACTAAAAATAAATAGATCACCGAAAGACATCTAAAGGCGTTAACCAAAGTTTAAAATGCTTAACATATTTTATGAAACAGGGATTAATTTAACCAAATACTACAGAATAAGATTTATCCCAAATCTTATTGCAACTCAACACATACTTAACGCAAAACCACAAGTTATATGGTGACCAATCGTAGAAAGTCAAGTGATTGAACCACTAAGCGATAGAACTTGGTAACTTTTATTAAGTACAATTCCCTAATAATACCGTTTACCAAAACTAGTAACAGACGTGGAACAACAAATCCACGGAAAATAGTTGAATTTCAGGTGTGGTGGGAATGTATATTGGATGGAGTTTTATCATTTACTGGCTTTCGAAACAACCTTGCTTCTTTTGCACCTATATGTCTATCTTCCTAAGCCACGAGGTGACATCAGATTTCTTCAGGCATGTTGTATGGAACTGTATGAATTTAAAAGGAGTGCCAATAAATTACACTGTGTTGCTAACAGCACTCTATTTGAAGTCATGTGAAAAATTCACCTCTCAGGTTAGTATTAATGATGATATCTATTAAGAAATTCCTTGATAATTTTCATGAACATACTGATATCAAACCGCATAGTTATAGGATTGGTTTTTTACTAGGAACTCATATGATAGATTTGTGTTACTCAAATAACAGCCTTGATAAATAAAGACTCAAAATCGACCCAAAATAATTTAAAAAACTTAACCACATGTTTTGTGTCTTCTAGAAGTAGAATAAAGCTGTTAAACTGGCTCAAACAAATAGCTTGTCTCAAAATAAGGACTTCTCATCTACTTGGTGAGAAATATGTCAGCTAAATAGATTTAAGAATGATCACAGGGAGCTCTTTCTTCATTTGTTGGACTAATTTACCAGTAGGACTAGTAAGACATCAGAATATTTTAGTGAAGATAGGCGAACTCTTTAATGACTTGCTTATACTACTACACAGTATAATATAACGATAAATGGCAAAAAGTATGAGCAGATCACAGCCTTTTGTTGATAAATATCACAATGATTAAAGTAGTGAGTAAGCAATAACATTAAGGACGAACTTCTAGATAATGAGGACAATTTATTCAAAAGTTTGTGGACCGATGGAAGTAACTGTGTCATGTGCATTCATTCCAAGTTGTCGTTTAAACTAATGTAGAGTCACAACTCATAGAGGATTAAGAAAGAATAACTTTGGAGGTAACCAAGAAAAAGTGTGAGACCATATTATAATCCTAGTGACGACCTGATTCATGTAAGAAAATATAGAGACTTTTGGTACGGTCATAGACGCGACAAACGCTGGTGTCTATATACAATAAGCGACACGTATAGCGGCGCCTGTGATAACAAACATAATGGCAACAGAAACTGGTTTTCTTCTCACCAAATAGAGAATAACTGTTAGCTATCATTCATAAACTGGCAATAATGGTCAAGACTTTTGTACGACTTGTTCATTTGACCATAGCATTAACGACCTACACTTTCTGTGGTGATTGAAGGCAAAGAGTCAATCAGTTCACTCAGAATATCAGTCTAAATGTTTAAGACACAATGCTTTCCATAGTTTTCATAAGACCGAACTATCATTGCTGAATAGAAAGCTTAGCTAAATAAGAATAGAAATAAAAATAATCACAAACCTTTCTTACCTTGTCATGCTTTTTCAAGATTTTCCTGAATCCCGTGAAGTTTAGGGATTGATAATTTTGCAATAAAACAAGACTTAAATAAAATTCACTGAAAGCTAGCTTCAAATCATGTAACTTTCTAAAGGTCTTCTTTCTCCTGTCCAATCTTTGGGCATCATATTTAGGATTTTCAGACTGCTTTGAACGGCTCTGGCGGCGACGTAACTCCGCGTTTTCTTCAGACTGTATTTTGCTGAGTTTATTCCAAATAGGTGTGTTAGCTGAACCATTTTCCCTTACGGACACTCTACACTTATCAGCTTCTCTTCCGAATGATTCCGTTAGTTTTCGGGAAAGTGAGGCTTTAGAACCTGTAATCCAACTGATAGATTTATGATGAGTAGACTCAATGTAGTTATCAAGTTCATCTACTAAAGTGGTGAACTTTCGATTGGCTTCGGCAATCTTCTCTAAATGCAACTGTCAACAAACAGTTTTAATCTCACCGGAAAAAAACACCTCAATCTTTCTCAGGGCATTTTCACATAGGTTAAAAAATTCTTCGTCACATTCATCCAAAAATGTTTTAGTCTCCTCCTCAGAGAAAACTAAGTTATAAGTGGTGTAGACAAGCAAATAGACTTACATGGAAGAGTTTCTAAAACTTGTGTGTACTTGTAAAGATGCTCCTTCAATTCCTGAAGACATCAAAATCTATCTATGTGAATTTACATCGTAATCTATGTACTGAGTCCTCCATTCTGGAGTGAGATGGGCATTCAGTCTCTCAGCGAACTTCATCTAAAACTAAAATAATGGATCCGACATATATGTATCAGGAGAAAATAAAGGTGACACAATGTACCCACAACGAACAGAAACATATATCACGATATCATGTCACTTAATATAAGCGGTAAACTTTCTAATTGAATGAACTCTTAAACCTTATAACAACTTCTATCACACTTTTTATTTGAAACTATGATTAAAAAAACGATTCTTTTTTTGTTAACAATATTTTTGTTTGATCTAACCACAATTTGTACAATTTCAAACGTAGTGCTCTACACTCAAGGGGGTTATCATCCGTACTGTCGACTATTAAGGTGAATTGGGCAGTACTTTTATGTGAGTCATGGAATCCATCAGTGACGAAGCAATGTTGAATATTATGGAAAACTCTACTGATAAGTACTTTTGCACACTCTGTTCTCCTGTCTACTTTATTTGCTCAAATGAATCACATGGCCTGGAAATACACATCAGATCTACTCATCCCGAAACAAAAAATCTTCGTTGTATTTATTGCTCCGAGCTGGTTTCATCAGTATCGATTTCAAAGCACATTGACATGCATTTTGGCATAATGGATACACAAAACCTTCCTTTTACCTGTCCCTGTTGTCCTAGATCGTTCGGTACTATGAAAGCACTAGCTCAACACGCTATATGTCTCCATGATATTGATAAAAGCAACGTGTTTTTTAAATGTGGTCATTGTGATAAATCAATGAACTCGCCTACGGAGTTAAAATCACATCTTCGGAAATATTCGCTCGTTTTGTTTCATTGTTGCTTCCCTAACTGTCGTGTCAAATCTAAAAATGTGGAAATAATAAAGAAACACGCACTTAAGTTTCATGGAACTAACAGCCCTCTTGTAACTACGACTTATTCGGTATGTTGCTATTAATACCTCTAGTATTTATTTTAGTTTATGTGTTCTTGGCCTTCCTCTGTACGACCAATACGCATTCAAGCCCATGCACCCGACATTTCAAAATTAAGCCGCCGAGTTCCATCAGCATTTTTCTGTGCACATTGCTCATTTGGTACCTCTCACCTAGAAAACTTTGCTCAACATTTGGCAATGTGTCGAGCTATATCTTCACATTTGCTCATAACTTCTCTGTCTGTCACCTGTGTTCTCCATCGTTGTTCAGAATGCGGCTGGATGACCAATGTTCGTAATATGCTAACAGAACACTTACATGATATACATCCCTTGCTTAGTGAGGTTAGTTTTTGTACACAAATTTTACCCTTCAGTTATTTCCATCTTTACCAGTTATAAACTTTGAGCTCTCTTTCATAATTAACATTCACTGTCCAAAAACAAATTTCCTGATCCGTTTGGAACTTTAATTACAAATACAAATGATGAGGATAGCAAGTCAGAGATGATATACTCATTCCGTTTGAGATTCTCGATTAATAAGATTTGGGTGTTATTTCCCCTATATGTCAAAGTACACAGTACTTGTAAACCAAATTGACGCTTCTGCAATCGCTAACGAATGCCGATAGCGTAAGCTGAATAATTAACTAGGTTCTCTGGAAGCTTTAATTCTTTAATCTTTATTTTCGACTACTTCATTAGTTTCCAATTAGGATGTTCTAAACATGAGAAATTCAGGTAGGCGTGTTTTACCGGTTTAACAAATATGAGTGCATACACTCCTTTTTGAATTATATTGTTTATTAAACATTCGGTGTCTAAACCAAAACAAATTGACTGGGGTCTCAACCCACTGGTTAAACTAGTGCTTTGTTCACCAAGCAATTTCTTCAGTCTGACGGATTGTACTCGTTTTCACAAAAGTTGTGTGGTTGAGACCCGTGGTTTACTTGGCCGATAAATTACGCCATTACAATTGTGTATTACAATTCACAGAATATGCACTTCTAAAGGTCTCGTCCTGTTATTTCGTTTTAAGGCCTGCAAGCTTACTGAATATATTCATAAAATCTCTATATGCTTTATATGTGCTTCATAGTCTTTCTGTAAACCACACCATCTAACTTGATCTTCCTAGTACCTCACTTGTCAATATGGAGTACTCAGATTATCAAGTTCTATTTAATCAAGGTACTGTTAAGTTTCAGATGCTTATGAACGCTTTCTCAAACAATATATGCATGTTTGTAATGGGTTTCCCTCTCTTAAGTGCGTCAGAACAATCTGCATCTATGCTTTAATTAATGATCGGGAGTGAAGTAGTTAAGTGCATCAACTGATCCACTTATTTTGGTTATCTCATTAGCCTTAGTGGTTTGGTGTCTGACGAAATCTTGACACCGTTTGAGAAAGGTCTCTCAGATTCTAGCAGCATATTTCACTTGTGTTGACTAACCAAGGGACAAGTGCAATAAACAGCAGTCCACTTCATAAAGTAATATATACTTCGAATATATTCTTAGTTTCAGCTCCTAGTTGATACTCTCCACATTTGTACAACTTACAAACGACATATTATTTTCCATTACTTTTTATTGACATTTATTTGCAGGATGACGGAGTGATCACTGAAGACTTTACAGTTCCTATATCTGATGAATCTATTACTGAAAACTATAATTTTATTAGCAAAAATATGGAGACCCTACGCAATTCTCCACTTCAACAACTGCCAAATTTTTTCTCTGGAAATTCAACTTTGCTCCATAATAACGATGGGACCACTTTGCACAACGATCTCCCGTTACTTTGTTCAACCGCCTCCAACCTTTCAGCTGAAGTTACGAAACATTTGTCAGGTATTCATGCCCCATCATCGATCGATAGTTGTGAAGCTGATGAAGTTGGAGATAATGAAGAGCATGTCGGTGTTGAAGGTGATAATGATGAGCTAAAAAAGCCAGGCACAGACATGAATCTCAACAATAGGCATGTCACCTCTAACCTACCTCCTGATATAGTAGATTCTAAGCAGGAAAGTGTCACTGAGACAGCTGCAGAAGAATATGTACAACTATATTTTAATGAGCAAGCATTTGTCACTGCGTATATGAAAAATGAAAAATTTAATCCTAATAATGATACTACAAGTGATGAGCTAAACGGTGTCCTGGAAAAGTTGCGTCGTTTCGCCAGTTATCGTGTTCCTATTCTTGGTCGCGCGAATCAGCGTCGTGTTGCTGGTTGTCCGGAATGCTTGAAACCATTCAATCATGGATTTACAGACCTCAAGAAACATCTTCTAGTGACTCATCTTGGTGTTCGCCGTGATATATCTCGTTTTACGATTGATTTCACTCATTCCGGTAGAAGTCATCATAGTACATTACCTAGTCAGACTAATAACTCACTTATTTATTCTGACAATTCACCGCAGTCAAAACACTCTTTCGGAATTCGAAATGGACGTCTTTCTGGTAAAGCGTTCCGTCGGAAACCTTTTCCAATTGCACCACTCCCCAGTCCTCTTTGTAAACGTCCGACGCCTGGTAAGTACGAAGACTCTCGGAAGTCTCCAACAGAACCATTGGCAACTGTTTCTTCTGATGGTCTTCCAACCCTAGTGACTTCTGGTTCCTCCTATTCAGGTGGTGCTCCAGTTCATCGAGTTATCCCAGGGACTGGTGTTTCTAATCATTATGAAGACATGAGGTCATTGGAAGAAGTTTCTGCTCAAGCTCCCATCGGTAGAGGTGGTATTGTTCCTCTGGATGAAATGGGTAATCCAATCGTTGCTGCTGTTGTCGCTGCAGGTCAACCCCAAACGTCCACCTATTCAGGTGGCACAGAAATCTTTCTTCCTAAAGTTGGACGTCAGCGCGTCCAGTTGGCATATTCATTCCCAGTATTTAATCGCTTACTGGAAGCTTATCAAGTCCCGATGCCAGAACGAATTCAACTTGTCAATCGTATGAACCACTATGCTCGAATGCATGTCATAATGGATGTCCTGGTTCCTGGTGGAGCACAAAAACGTTTTTCTTGTCCGACTTGCATGTACACTTCAGTACACTCATTGGCCGATATTCGCAAACACATTATGGGGTCTCACTGCGGCATTTCTACTAAACGTTTCAGACTCTGTCTTCGGGCTTCTAGACATGATACTACAACATATCGCTTGCATTCAGATGACAGGATGATTCGATTTGTTGAAGATCATAGACGAAGGCAAATACAACTAACGGATGCAAGATCAAACATCAAAGTCACTTCGAATGATAGTGATGCCGAAGAAACAAAGGAGGATTCAAATGAAACTTATTCCCAAATAATGAATGATGAAAATAATCAATTCCCAAATGATTTTACCAAGTCCCAGGTTTCATTCAATGATCAAGAAGAACTAGAAACACAAACTATCGAGACAGATCTGTACGACGATAGTCATCAGGAAGGGGTTCACGGCGCTGATGAAGAGAGTGATAACCGTTTTCTCACTGCTAACGTAAATCTAAACTCCGAGGACTATTTCGTCACTCCAACTAAAACTCATGATAACTCCACTGTAGTTTCTAGTGATACTCCTAATACGTATTCAGATGAAAATGCTAAGCAAAACGAGGAGATCCACCGTCGTATTGAACTACCTTTCTCTGATAATGTACTGCGCGTCTTGCTGGAGCGAGAGGGTATGTTCGATCAATACGATGATTTGGTAGTCAAGATGCAAGTCTACTCTAAGCATCATCTTACTGTTGTTTCACGAGGAAATCGAATTTACTCGTACATCTGCATATGTGGACGTCGTTTTGCGGTGAGTCCTTTGTCTAAAATTTAGCTTTTTTCTATTTTCATATATTAGTGTAAACTCTGTGTATATTTATCGTAATGGTTTTTTGTTTATCTTCAATTCCTAGTGTAAAGGTTTGTCTTCGGAAAATCTATGCTAATGCTAGCAGTGTTAATTGATTTTCTTAATCAATGATTTTTCTTCCATTTCACAGGTTGTTCGTGATGAAGTTGAGAGCGATATTAGGCCAGCCAGTCTAGCCGATTGCAGACGTCATATCCTGGGAGTGCACGCCAGGATTCCTCAAGAACTACTAACATTATGCTGCCAGGCATCCCGCATTTCTAAAGAGTCTGGATATAAGCTCTATGCAGATACTTCTCTTTTGGCATTAGCTGAACAACACAAATTTCGAAGCACAAGGATTCAAAGTTATAGTCGTAAATCAGAAGGTGGAATATCTCCAATTAAACGTCCTTTAGAACCTATCATACCCAATGATATAGAAGGAATTTCAGAGTTATCTGTACCTACCAGTTCCGTTAATTCAGTTAATCAACGATCAAACACATCTTACTCAAGTATGGGTTTCAACCACTCTGCACCTAGTCAAGTAGCTCTACATCATTCGTCTTCGTATTCCTCGAACCATCCTTTAACACCCATGTTGCGTGCTCCAACTGTTAAGTATGAACTAAGTGAACCAGATGAGTCACCACCCCCAGAGTATAACAAACCCAATGGTAAAACATCATCTAATATGAACTCTACCAAGTCCCCAGAACCAAACCCTTACTCATTCGAAGAACGACATAACGGCCTGGATCTGGAGGCTCCTCGTCGCATACTTACTCCCGAAGAGTCGGTTACATGGAGCCAAAAACTAGGTTTACCTGCTTCATGGGCTTTGGAAAGAATTGTTCGACTCTTGTATAGTCCTGCTGTTTTCGATCATCAAGTTAGATCTGTTCTACCTGATGGTGATAGCTTTATTAGTAGCTTGCATGAACGCATGAAAGTTTATGCTAGACATTCTGTTTACATCACTCGTATGAGGGAAACTCCCAATCTTACTCAACGCATTTATGTTTGCTGTGCATGTCTAACTACATCACACCATGGTTTCGGAGATGTAAGGAAACACATATTAGGCGTTCATGCTCACGTTCCGGAACGCTTTAAATCTGCAGCCATGTGTTCTAGCAGGCTGAATAGAGATGATTATTTTCTGTATACTGATAGCCAACTCCTGATGTTAGCTAATTCTCCCGGGCGTAACGCGAATATATCAGCTTTAGGAGCTGCATCTAGCAAAACCCAATCACATTTAAATCATAATTCAGCACCTCATAAACATCGCCAAAACGATTCGGATAATTCATCTCCTCAAAACACTCCGAATAGAAAAAGACGGTTTTCTGGGACTGAAAGTGACTCCATTGATCTTGGTATTAAAACAGAATCCTCTAGTCAACTTGTACCTGATGAAATTCCACATACTGCTCATTTAAACGGACATTCTGCATTTCCTCCTGATATATCTACGAAATCCTATGAAGAACACGATAAACACCGTCCTCCTATTATCCTTACTATACCGCGTCCTAAAGCTTTTCATCCATCTGATCAACCAGATGATTTACCTGTTCGATTATCCTCTATAAACTCAGCGAAACCTATTGATGAGTATATAAATCCAGACAATGCTTACTCATCATCTGGTTCACGTAGTAGACGTTCAATGATTCTTAAATCAAAACGTCCTTGCCCAACATCTACGTAAACAACTTTTCTTACATGTCCTATGTTAATAAATACATATATACGGAAATTAAACTGAGTTATGTTTAGCATGTTATTTATACTACATAAATTTCTTACTCATCTTGTACATAAAAACATATATAGTTATTATTAAACAGGAACTGTATCAAAAAAATGAATACCTCGAATCGTAAAAAAATTTACTTGCAAATGCATTATTAGTTATCAAAACTTCTTTGTATGATAAATGTTTCATAGCTTTTTTCTTAATTTCACTTTTTACTTAGTGACATTGTTTTGTAATGTGTTTAAAGCAACAGTATAAACTATCAATATATATCCTTTTGTATTCAGTATATACATAACGATAGTAATGATGCTTTCCCTAATAAACAATTTATAGATAATTAATCAAATTAGTGATGTATTGATGTTAATGTGGATTTCTATCAAGTTATCGTCAGTAATTTCTGTTGTTTTTTTTAAAAAATAGTTTCATGTGTTCGTTTTATGTTCCATCATTTCACTTTAATCTACACTTCTAGCTCACAAACTTCTGTTTTCTTCCAAGCACGCCTTCTTTTTGTTCTACTGATACCTTATTATGCATATAAGACATTCCACTCCACAATTTTTGTTAATATGTATTTATGTTCATGTATTAATCCTCCTCTAAAATGAAAACTGATAATTTTGTGATCCTCTTGGCGATTTGATTAATTAGATTTTGTTTTCCTTGTGAAATCTGAATTCATACTTCTGATTGGTCGTTTGGATAAAATGTAAATCATCTAGGAAACCTTATTCGCAGACGGGGATGTAAATTTCAATTTGGTCTAACAGCCCAAATTATTAAGCTGAAATAAGAATTTTATTTAATTGTTACCTTCTCAATATTATGAACTGTCACAACAATTCCCTTATTTTAGCATTACTTTTAATACCCAGACCATGACAACGCAATTGTCGTCTTGATCTTAGATGAATAAAACCGCAGAAAAGATAGCTAAACGTTATACACAATGGAATAGTTATTATTTCTGAACTGAAACAAAATTTTATGTCAGTCAGTCATAACCAACGTAAAACCTGGATCTTATGCATTGTTTCAAGTTACTTCAGCAGAGTGATATGAAATTGCTCAGACAAATCCCAGAGTGGTAAAAATAGTAGTAGAAATTATTAGACGTAGACAATTGGATTCGTGAAATAGGGAAGTATGTGGTGTTCTAAAACCCAACATTTAAGGGATGTGTGTGTAGCATCGCGGTCAATTCTAACCCATATCATCCAATGTCTTCAACCATTAGTTACGATATTCGCGCGCATCACGAGCAGTTAGACTGGGTCCACCAACACGTTCCAATCCCACAGTTAATTCATGAACTAATACCAAGTCTTTATTTGATGGTTTCTAGCTTCCCTCCATTTTTCACCAATAGACCGCTCGCTGAGGTAGATGGTGGGTGGGCATATGTAATAAATGCGCCACCTACCTCAGTGGATGGAGATCGAACATCTCGCCAACCAATTTTCCATCTTTAAGCAGTACTTTGCATCTGTCTTCAGTATTGCTCACTTGATGGTCTCGATTATTAGTTTAGGCTGTGACTCAGAACAATCCTGAAACAAATTACAAATGTAGAAACACACCCTTGCATTGTTGCTAGAGGTAATCAGAAGACTCTTGTTAGCACCACTGAACAGTACTATTTCGCATGGGTCTTCTAAGTCAATAAGTGAATCTCGCAGTTGTCACTCAGCCCCCGGAACGTCAAGCGATAAAAGCACAATCTCTAAGAATATCTACGATAAAATCATTTGGTTGCATGCATTTCAATCTGTCCTACAGTTTATCTTTTATAGTAGAAGCGAGTTGTGTCGTTGACGTCATTGAGTTGTCTTACGGTCTCGTTCAATAACCAAGTAGACTTGTATTCACCAGATGCCTTGAACATAAACAAACATTTGCTTCATGATACGAGACATTCCTAGAGTGAGTTCCTATGAATCTTTTAGTACGAAAAATGAATATCACTGAGAGAGCTAAGTCGACTCTTAAACAAAAGTTCTCAGGTCGTTATTCAAACTTGCTAATTATTGACAAACACAGCCTCGGCATACAAGATAGATATTTGTTCATATCTAATTGGATTCTAACGATTTTTAAATCCTTATTCTAGCATCAAAATTTATCGAGGTAAGTAGATAATGACTGGGATCAAAGCGCTAGTCTATGAACCATCAGACCAGTGCTTTGTCAGTTGACTGGTGTGTGTTTAGGTTAGGTACATTTTTTTAAACGACAATCAACTGATTAACGATTAATTGAACTGCTCGATATTCTATTTATCACACTAGCACGTCGACAATGGTTGTGATTGAAATTTTCTGATAGAAAAGCAAACATACTAAATGGATATACTAGTTAGGATCAAAGTCAATTTTTCTGGTCTGTCTCGTAGGAGTCTTGACTTGTAGTTTCAATACATATTGTACCGATTTAGTTACATCCACTTTCTTTCACTATCTAACAACATATTTACTTAAACGCTATATCCAATGTCTTTTTGTAATACCTTTTACTTTTTTTGTAAATTACTTTTCTTCTACCTATTGCTTATTTTCGATTCTGTTCGACATTAATAAAACCATTATAATTTGATTTTTTTCAACTGATATACATATTCATGATCCAGTGATTTAGTTCTGACGACGGTCTGAAATTTAAACCAATGCACCATTGTGAACTTGAATCAATTAACTCTATCACACACACGCATATATTTTTTAGTGGATTTACATTCGCGTACACCCACGTATTTGTGTGCGATTATGTACTCATATAGTTACTGGTTCATTTTTATCCAATATAAGCATGTAGTTTGACCTGGTTGATTTTCTCGCTCAGCTTGAGCCCAACTAAGACGACACTAGTCTTGAATAAGCCCGCATCAGTCAGTCAAACGTTATGGTGCATAAGTGCACAATCGCTACTACCAACTAAGTTTTTTAGATCGATGGAATCAGTTGACTGATACTGGAATACATACTATTGACAGTTTCATTAAATCACACAGAAACAAATTGTCGATAGTAAATACGTTTGTGTACAACTAATAAAAACCTCATAGTCAACGTTGAAATAAGGCCGTCCTATATGTAAGTTGTGTTAAATGAACTAATTCAGTAGAGAAAATAGTCAGGTGTATCTAGTGTTATCGGCTGAAATTCATTTCATATGACTGAATATAAATTACATGATTTAAACTCGCCCCTAAGTGCACATCTTTTGGTGTTTGTAAATTTTACCTGCCTAACCTACTTTTCATCTTTACTTAAGTTATGTTATATGCCTTTTTTTGATTTCTCTCTTCATTATCAACTTCATCTCCATAAACTGTAACTTTGTTAAATGATTTACAAAGCATGATAGAATAATTTCATTATCTAACTTATGAATCTATACATAAGTCAGTTACCATTTTCCTTTTAAAGAATTCTGAAGTCAACATGTTTCTCACCTCAGCCTTGTCAGTGGCTAAACAAATTACCTTAGTCTTTAGATAATTTAGAAAATTCTATTTTCACTTGCTTGATTCTTGTATCATTTCTCATTCATAATTATTAAGAGGGGTTTCTCACTTATGACTAGAAATCTGTGTTGTAAATGTGAGATATCTCTAACATATTAGATAAGCAGTGTATTTATAAATTCGTTTCTACTTGACTTGATTGACCTCATAATACTCATTACCATCAGTAGCATTCACTATTAAACGTTAACCAACAAGGCAGAAAACTTAAACTCATTGCACTAGTGTGGTTAACTTTGTACGTTTAGAATCCGTTAGATTGAACTGTTTTTACCTTTCATATATCATAGAAATGAAAGTTTTCTACAAATCTTACCTTCAAGTATTACAGTCAAAATAAGTTCCTTTTTGATAATTACAATTATCTAATAATAAAGATTTGCATCCCAGTCCAAAGATCTCGAATAAATCATCAAACCCAGTAATGAAACATTCACAACTAAATGCCAATGTTATACACTTATTATTTGCTTCCAAAATTCAAACATTTATTTCATTCCCTTAATAAAATAGGTTGTTAGAAAGCACAACTACAGTTCATCAGATAACAAGAAAATACATCAGAGGAGTATATTTTAAAGGAATCACATCTACTTAAGACAAAAAATAAAAGATGCATTTAATATTGTAAATTTGTTTCTGACATACTGAATTAGTAAAGTCATGAGATGAATATTAAATAGTCTTTCCTATCACATTTTTTTACTGATGGCTATGTTCCTTCAACGGTAATTAGCTATTTATCTTGCTTTTTTTTGCTCTTACATTACTCTCTACTTATCATCTTAACTTTATGAGCTCTACTTTTTGTCTATTAAAGTCAGTCGCTTTTTATTCCCCATATTGTTTCATGTCTCTCGTCTGAAATATGTTATCTCTACCATATGACATCATCTAATTGTTAGGTGGGAAAGTTACTCACGAGAGAAATCATCGAGTTATTTCTTTTTTTTACATCTACTTTCCTTCTTTAATTCTCCAGAGATAATTTGTTCTTAAATCGTGAAGTAGAAATGTTATGACATCCAAACAATGTCTACTTATCCTAAATCTACTTGTTTTCTGTTCATATATTTTCATTTCTGAATTAATGGCTGTTTTCTTTGTGTGTGACTATCCTTACGGCTCCACCTAAATTCTTTCCATTAGTGCAACAAAATTTCTACCTTTCTCTATTTAGGTCACGATTGATCTTATCCTCTATAGTTTATCATAAATGTCTCTCCCCTCAGAACGAAAAATCTGCCTGATTTAGAATGTAGGATGCGTTTTCTCTCCGGGTTATGGCTCACACAGTTTTACTGTTTTCTCTGACCCTATCGATCTTTTTTCAAGCCTGGCTAGTCTAAATGTAGAATTCATACAGGAATCGACATTCCGCCCTAATCTCTTCAGTTGATTGGATTAGTTGCACTACCAAACGACATACAAGCATGTTTACAATGCAGTCAGGCGTACATTTAGTAATACTTCATCAACTGAATAACGAAATTCACATTTTGCTTATAGGTGAAATAGAACTGATAAAATCACTCCTTTGTCGGTTTAGTGAACAACCAAAATTCAGCTATTTGCGTGAATGACTTTTCAAACGATATACTTATTGTACAAAACGGAGGATAATATACAGAGTATTTTATGAATTAGATCATATTATATACAGTTATTTTTTAATGCTCTAATTATCTGGTTTTATAAATCATCTTTTTCATTGTCTAGTTTTCCTTATGAAATCATACAGAGTATTAAAGCTTTTATAGCTTAGATTTTATTAAAAGTGTAATCAGCAATAATCTAACTTGTTTAAACGAAAACCAGAAATAATTTTTCATTGGTGACATCAAGACTCCAATTTTTAGAAAAAACCTTATTAAACTCTGATGATAACAATAAACATGAAATTATTTTGTAGTACTATATTGAAGTATCTCTATTGAACCGTCGTTGAAAATTCAGTTAAACATGTTGAATGAATAAAGAATTACTCAAGTATCTTAATAATAGATAAAGGAGAAAAAAATTATTCTGATAATCATTCCAATACTACCCTAATAATCGATATGATAGTCTCAAGTTAAACAATTATCTAGTGTAGGAAACAGTCAACAAACTACAATAGAATATTGAAAGAATGATAATGGATCTCAAATCAAACTTTCCTAGATCATTCAATTTAGTAGCCTTTATCTACGTAGAATAGAAATGTAATTAATGTGCTTTCTGATAGTATTTAAATTAATTGAGAATAGTGTTAGGTGATAAAAGTTATGTAATGTAATGAGTCAATGACTTAAAAGAAACAATGATCGTCAAATAATATAGTGATTGATTAGAGTCAAGGAGAAAGAAAGGAAGGTGTGAGAGATCTTTTGCAGAATAGAAAACCTCATCGATGTATATGATACTGAAAACAATTTTTTTATCTCTAACTGCTCTCGAACCACTTACTGATTACCTCTAATTACTGTCTCTTCGTAGAATTGGCTGATGTCGGGAATTTTGAAACAATGAGAATATTCATAACTCATAATTAACATGTTAAGCTTTCATCATTCCAACCATAAAAAGAAGTTGGCATTAGCAAAGAAAGGTATACGGTACACTCCTATTTGTTCAAAATTTTTATTTTGTGGTTATATCTTTCTATCTTCAACTTTTAGCAAACTAATCTATCTGTTGAAATTCACCTGATCATCTTTCAGGAAGAATGTTATCGACTATTCGTTACTATGTAATAATAATAATAATAATAGTGTTAATAAAATGCAACTATCCAACCGAAATTAGCATGTAAAATTTGTTACACTTACATTTTGTAAAACACAGAGAAAACTAAATTGTTTGAATATGCTAACCAGTTAACTTATTCGGAGAAAATGTTGTTTTTGTCAATTTATGCTACATATATCCTCGACAAGCAGAAAGGATAAAGCCTAGTGAATTTCGTTGATAGATATTTTTCTGACCTTAAATCGATGATATTAAAAGTAAAGAATAACGAAAGATTTACTTATTATTGTTTGTTTGGATCTTCCCATTGATGTTTTTAGGATTGCAACTGGTCAGTCTCTAATTGGCATATGTGCATACTGTGCGTATTGCCTCGAAAGATCATGTTTTATTTGTGACCGTTTGAAAAGAACCACTTTTGTTTCTTTATTGAAATAACTAGTTGAATAAGAAAAGGAATCAGGTACATGTTTCAGTTACATAATCAATTACAAAAGTTGTTTACTAATGTATGAATGATACTTTTTACATTTTTTAAAAATCTATTACTAATCTATGTGCAGTGTTAATGACGGTTATACTGAAAAGAACTTGAAACTAACCGTTCATGTTAAATTGGAGTTGTATGCTTGTATCTTCCCACTGTTATTTAGGACTGCAATTGATCAATCTCTTGTTGGCATATGTGCATCCTGTGAGAACTGCCTCAATATTGCTTGAAGTCACAAGTTTTATAAGCAAAGATGAATAGTGGCTAGCAGTGGAATCCAGGACGCGCGTTTCGTCCTATTTGGGACTCATCAGCTGGATGTACAACTTGATGTTCACTCTGTGACTTAAACTCAGTACCGTTCGCTTCAAATGCCATGTAATGTAATTAATTGATTAGTTTATTCCTGTTGATCTGATACACTTTGGAAACCGGGTCTATATACTCTTTGACTGAATGAATCTTATATTGATACATTTATCAAACGTTTAATTTGATATTTGAGATTGTTAACTGTATATTTATTCAGTTAACATCCACTTACATGTCAATCCATAGTTGATCATATTCATGATCACTTCTAATCAATTTGTATTCATATTATAGGTTTTAATACCAATGTAAGTGTATTTTATTCACTAAATTACAAAACAATCATGTGTTTTTGTTCTCCTGAGATTTGTTTATCACTGAAGATTGGTAGACAGTTCTCAGGTGAACAACCTACCTACATCTGTGAAAATCGATCAACAAGCAAGTTTTAGGATCTCGTTATAATGAATTAAAGCACAATTTCAAACATTTTAATGTATCCATTTGTTAATCTTTAGACTTACAGTAAACTGTCTCATGGAA